GATCCGAATAAATCCGATATACTTTTGGTTTCGGTTCTTGTCCGGGTTTCGGTTCTAAAAGTGTACTAAATATATCCAAACAACTATGTATAACTAGCAATAAATTAGACCAACAGACTCAAACATAAGACCAAAACAACACGAGTACAAAGACATTCAAGTCAACAAAGACCTTACACATTGTATCCAAAAGACATACACAAACAATAAAGAAGACTAAGGCTCAGATTCGTAATCACTAATCAGACACAAGGTAATGCAACGTTATAACTTTATTCAAATGAAAATGAAACAAATACCACCATTTTTGAAATGAAACAACATTATTAAATGAAAACCAAATAGAAAGCAACATTATTCAATTGAAAACCAAACAGAAAGCAACATTATTGAAGTGAAAACCAAATAGAAAAACAACATTATTCAATGAAATAAAATAAAAAAAAACTCTTTCAAACTTCAACTTCAGCCTTCAACTTTCACAATCCGCACATCAATCTTCAAGGTTTTGAGCTTCAAACTCTGTTAAAAGAAGGCAAACGAATGCAGTTAAATGACCAATATACAACTTAAGCAAACCAGTAAGTTAAATGAGCAATATACAGAAAAAAAAAGCAAAGGAATTCATACCTTTCTCAAGCTTATCAAGGTCCTCAACATCAGCTAGGATCTGCTCATTTGTGATGATGGTTTCATTAAGCTTTATGTCAGCTTGCAGCCATTGCTCACTACATATAAGAACCTCTATCATGTAGTGTGTCAAGCAGCTTCGATAAGGTTCCAATATTCTACCACTTGTGCTAAAAGCACTTTCTGAGGCCACTGATGACACTTGCATAGCAAGGAGATCTCTTGCCATCTCTGCCAGAACCGGATACTTCAGTTTATGCACCTTCCACCACGACAAAATATCAAACTCGGTTCCCAGCAAAAGCTTTGGAGTCTCAACTGCTTCTTTCAAGTAAACTTCAAGTTCATCCCTTGTATCTTCACCTTTTTCAGCAACAAGTTCCTTGTACATAACATCCATCCTTTCATACCCAAAATCCTCAACCACAAGTTCCATTCTTTCCACTGCTTCTTCCTGAGACTCTGATTCAGGGACGTTAGAGGCTTCAGCTGGTTGTGTTGCTTGACCAGAAGTTCTTCTAAAACGCAGACTGTATTCATTGAACATAGCTGTGAGAAGAACACTGATCGATTCTCCCATTTCCTTAGCTTCCACGCTGTCTTTCCCATACAACTTCTCAAAACAAAGCTCTGCGAAATGCATCTTCTTCCTAGGGTCTAAGATGGTGGCTAAGATCAACATCTTGTTGACACCTTTGATACCATCCCAATACTTTAAAAATTTCTGCAACATATCTGATGCCCTCAACTGCAACTCAGAGTCTACACTATTAGCTAAACCAGTGAGATTTCTCTCTATAGTCACTATCTCACCATAGCATTTGTATGCATTGACCTTAGATGAGGCAGAGACAACCAAAGTGCTGTTGTAAAATATGACCAAAAACCTAATAAGCTTCTCAACAGCATTCCAGTCCCTAGAAGCAGGTGGTCCACATCGCTTATCCCCATTATCTACTTCAAGAAAGTAGTCATTGTACAACCTATCTTCTGCTTCCATCCTATCAAAGGCTACCTTAAACTGCAATGCCCTAGGTAGCATAAGAAAAGTAGAATTCCACCTAGTCTTCACATCTAGAGGCAAGCTACCACGAGTCATCTTACCAGTGGTGACTCTTTGATCGAAAGCATTGATCCTATTGGTCGAAGACCTCACATATTGAACAGCATTCCTGATAGCTAACACATTATCGCCTAAATCACTCAAGCCATCCTTAGCAATTAAGTTTATAATATGAGCCGCACACCTCATGTGTAAATAATTCCCATCTAATACCAAAGCATCAGGAGAAATTGAGCTAAAGATACTATGGAACCTCCTAATAGCTGATGTATTGGCAGTGGCGTTATCTACTGTGATGCAAAACAGCCTCTCAATTCCCCAGTCAGCTAAACACTCTAAAAGGACATTAGAGATTGTCTGACCTTTGTGATCCAAGACGTATTTGAAGCCAATGATTAACTTCTTTAGCTGCCACTGATCATCAATGAAATGTGCAGTGACAACCATGTAACTTGCACCTGCGAGCCACAAAAACCATGATCACAACCAACATTAATTTAAAAATAAATCTTACACACGATCACTATATCAAAGACACATAATGACAACCAACAGATTCAATATTAACATACTGTTATAATTTTAACACTTAGACAGACAGAAACTTAATTCAATCTTTAACTCATCTCACGACAACAAACATATTCAATACGTATCAACCTCTAACTCATCTCGTGACTCACTCTCATATGTTACAGCTCACACATCACCCACATAAAAATCAGACGAGATTAATTCAAAAAAAATAGGTGAAGTATGAACTAGGAATTGACGAGTTTTATTTTAAAAAAAACATTTACCTGTGACTTGAGATACCCAAATATCAGTGGTCAAGGAAACTCTTTGTTTACTTGTGATGAGCAAGTTCTTCAATGCTGCTTTCTTTTTCACAAACATTTCCACAATGTTTCTTGTCAAAGTTCTTCTTGAGTGAGGCATGAAGAGATTAACCTGCAAACGAAGAGATTATAAAAAGTAAGTAAAGGTTGATGATTACAGAAAATAAATTAAAAGGCTACGTTTTGCAAGGTTGTACCTTTTGGCAGAAGTGCTTAAAAGCCGTACTTTCAATGAAAGAAAGTGACAATTCAGCTAAAACTACCAGCTCACTACAAGCTTCTTTGAAAACTTTCTCAGACACTTTAGACGCCTTCAGTCTTCCTTCACTACCAAGCTGCTGTTGATTCTTTTTCTGACTAGTTAGAAAAGACTGGTGCTCTTTGCATATTTGCAGATGCTTCTTCAGGTTAGAAGTGCCTGACTTGGATGCACATGAGAATATCTTGTGGCAATGGTGACATATGCATTTGTCCCGGCTCTCTTTGGTTCTGCTGAAATTCTTCCAGACATCAGACTGCGGCACAACCATCTTTTTCAACTTACTCGCCTGAGATGATCCATTTGCATCACCATTGTTCCCCTGGTACTCTTGATCTTCAAATTGCACATCCATGGGATCTTCAGTCTGCTGGCTTTTGGAAGACGAGGATGCCATCTGCAAGAGAAGAAGAACATGTTTAGAATCGAGTTTTACACATGAGTTCTTACATATTATTTCACAACCAACAATGTCAATATTAAGCGCAGGCATCAATATAACTAAGCACACGCATCAACCTTTAACTCATCTCATAAATCACTGTGATCAGTCTCATAATCATAACAATCAGACATGCATAAACTTAAGTGAACAACAGATAAACGATGATATAATCTTAAAGGAAGAGAAACTAACAGTGTTGACTATTATAATAAACAAAAGAAGCTATATGGAACCGAACTTAACAAACAAAGCTGTTATTTAGAAAAACAAAGCTTTAACAGTATTGACTATTAAGAGTAATCAAAAGAAGCTACATGGAACCGAGCTTCACAAACAAAGCTGTTGTTTAGAAAGCAAAGCTTTTGTATCGACAACTCAAGAGATAATTGAGTACCTTAGCTCGATTATTAGATGACTAAAGCGGTGGTTTTGGTTATCAACTTTGAGGAACTGCATAGATATTTATATGAACTGGTATGTTGGGTTTCAAAATCGAATCGTCGAAAGGAATCTATGAGAATATTTGATTACTGGATGAAGGAAAAGATAAAGGAAACAAGAAGATTACGGGGGGAATAGATTTCGGAAAGGTTCGGTAGAAGATTTTGCAGAGAATCTCTTGGTGGCTGATGTATAATCGAAGTAAAAGGGTTAGGGTAGACAAAAATCCGGGTTTCGGGTGTAACCAATCGGATCTAGGGTATTTACCCGACCCGACCCGACATCCATTGTACCAGAAAAATGAGCTCCGATCGGGTTATTTAGAGGAACCGAAATCGACCCATACCTGTTTAACCGGACCGGGTTCGGTTCGGGTTGTCGGATATCGGGTTTTTTGCCCAGGCCTAAAGAAAATGATCAAAAAGATTTCGTTAAAGAAATAAAAGACTTTTGTGTCATTTACTTTATAAATATATAAATAAATTAGAAATAAATAAAATGAAAAATAAATAAAAATATGTTTTTATATTTTTGAATTATTTGTTTTCAGATTTGCACGTTTTATAATATATTTTTTTGAAATTCTTTTTTTCAAAAAATTTTTAGTTTCTTTTATAAATTCGAAAATACATTTTGAAACTATTTGTTTCAAATTTTTAATATTTATTGTTTCTTTTTGAATATTTTTAATCCTACCCCAAATCCCTACCCCTTAACTCTAGAAAAAATAGGATTAGTTAATTTTAGTGGTATAATAGGATATCATGCCCTTCAATAAAACTTATTTCGGTCATTTTTTAGTTTGAATGTTATTTTTGAGAAAATAAATTAAAGATGCTATTCTAGAAAAAAAATTTTCCATTTATTATGCTAGATTTTTCCTTAGACAATTTAAAAAATTGTATCTATTTTAAAAAAGTAAGACAAAAAAACAGGTTTTGATATATTTTTGATCATATTTGTTTTAATACTATCGTTTTAAATGGCCCATTGTATAGTAGAAAACCAGATCAGATGTTAAGCTTACCCAACAAAACTTATTGACGCGACTGATATGACCTGCGCCTAGGTGGAACCTTCATATTGCTGAGTGCTGACTGCATGGGAATCCCGCACAAAGGCCCATCAGATGTGAGGTAAATAATGGGCTTGCTATAAGGAGAAAGCCCACAAGGTGCTCCTCAAATTTAAAAAATTTGATTTTCTCAAATAGACTAGAACACGAAAGAAGCATCTAGAGACAGAAAACTTGGTCTGTGACAGTGTGTATATATGCAGCCACTTGTCTCTCTGTTTCCCCGAATCCTCTGTTTCTGTTGTATTCTGAAGAATTCTCGTTGATCTTCCGAAAATGAGGTACTCATTAATTCATTCGCTTTTAACTTTTATATTCGTTTATGTTGCGCAAACGTTTTGACTTTTGTATTGGTTTGGTTCCTAATGGTCTTCAAAATTTTCCAGTCGTCATCCTACGGTGAAGTGGGCGCAAAGGTCGGATAAGGTTTACATAACGGTGGAGTTGCCAGACGCTGAAGATGTAAAGCTCAAGCTTGAGCCACAAGGCAAGTTCTTTTTCTCTGCTACGAGTGGAGCAAGCAAGACACAGTACGAAGTGGACCTTGATCTGTTCGACAGTGTTGATGTCAATGTATAGATCTCGTCTTTTATTATTTATACTCGTTATGGTGTTTTGTATTTTTGTTGAAATGGTACTGGTATTTGAGGATGTCTCTGATGATTGATTTGCAGGAGAGCAAAGCGAGTGTGAGCTCGAGGTGTGTATGTTACATGGTGAAGAAAGCTGAGAGCAAGTGGTGGAACAGGTTGATTAAGCAGGAAGGGAAACCTCCTGTGTACTTGAAAGTTGATTGGGATAAATGGGTTGATGAAGACGAAGAAGTCAAAGGTAAATGATGATTTTACTCTTTCTGTGGAGGAGCTATAGTTACATTATATGTACTTAGCTTGACTGGTCTTTTTTGATTATTACCTGTAGGTGGAGAAGCGGATATGGACTTTGGAGATTTTGATTTCAATGTAAGGCCCTTGAGAGGAAACACTATTTTCCCCTAAGTAGTATCAATGCTTTTCTTTGGGTTGGAAACTAATGTTTTAATTTTCTTTTTTCTTTTTTCTTTTTAGAGTCTGAATATGGGAGACAGTGAGGACATTGGAGACGGAGGTAAGGCTTTGAACCATGTATAGGAACTTGACCTGACTTTCTGTTATCTCAAGCAGTTGAACAACTCTGGTGTGTTCTTGCCGTTGCAGAAGAGGATATTGATCTGGAGGGTGAAACTGTGGCAGAGACTAAAGAAACTAAGAACATTGTGGAACAAGTTCAAGGAGAGAAAGATGAAGAAGCAACAGATGTGAAGAAGGATTGAGTTTTGTGTTATTCTAAGATCTCTCTCTCATGTTTTATTCTCAGAAAAAAAAACATTTCTCTCATGCTATTTTAGCTTGAAATGGTTTGTAATGGTATGAAGGGTATGTCTTAAATGAACCTTTCTCTTAATTACACTTGGATTTTACAGAGTCAACCTTGCCAACTCTCACGAATAGATCCATAACCGAATAAATCCTATCCGATAAGAATCCAAAATAGAATTATGTATTTTATTTTGTATATTTTGTTTTATAATTAGTTGAAATATATTTTTGTTAAACAATTTTGTTATTATTTTTATAATAATATGAGATTTTAAATGTAAATTTAAAGTTTTAAAAGGTATCAATTTAGTTATTGATAGTTTATTTTAAGTTATTTTGTAAGAATATAGAGATGTAGGATATATTTTGACTAAATTTGGATTTGAATATTTAATATTTTTTTCATATTTTAGACCTGAAACGGATCTGAATATTATGGATATTTTACAGCTATTTTAATTATAAATACGAAGTGGATTCGAGAAGAACCAAACCAAAATCAAAATTTACAAATATCTATTGAATCTAAATTCTACGACGTGAAGGAACCTAGACTCAAAAGAAACCGATCCGAACCCAATCATTAGATCCAAACGCCCAGCTTACCATTAGTATCAATCGGATTGTGGTTTTATCCAATCGATTTTTAGTTTTTTTGGGTTTATCAAAATCAGTCTATATGAAAATTTGGTTCGGACAAGTTCGGATTCTATCAGATTCGGGTCTGAGTTAGTAAATCTTTAGAGAATCGGTACAAGCCGATATATTTTTTGTTTGATTTACAATCAGTTCTCCGATTTTAAAGTACCTGATTTTTATTTATTTTGTAACCAAAACATTTTATATTTTTTTGGTTTAAAGTATTTAATTTGTACATATCTTGTAACTATCATAAGTAAACGCGATTCAAAAATAAGAAAAAAAATATCAAACATGATTATTCAAAATTAAATGAAAGGTAAACATAGTTATTGATAGAAAAAAACAAATAAATAAAATTATAAAATAAAAACTAACTTCTCATGAAATTTTCTTGCGAACCAATATTCAATGAAAATAAAACCAAAATCTAAAAATTTCAATTTTCAACCGCCATTCAACTATCAACTTTCATGTAATAGATAATTATTTTAGATATTCAGTAATAATATAGTGTATTTTGGATAAATATTAGGAATTAAGATTATGTTTAGTACAAGTCTTTTTATGGGACTTTGAATGTTTCGGGTTTTACCGGATATCCATTTAACTTCGGATTTGGTTCAGATAATATATATAATCCGAAATAGCATAAACAAGATCCATTCGATATTTATGTCGGGATCGAATCAATTTGAATTCATTTTTATCAGAACGAATTTAATTCAGATTTTCAAATTCAGTCTATTTGCCAACCCAACGGCTAATCTACTAAGTGTTCATTGTTTTATACGTTTAAACAGTTTAATAATAATATAGACAACAATTTCTTTTATATAATAAAATTTTTCATCATGCGATAACATTTTTATCACATAATTTTTTTAAGAAAATACTATTAAATTTTTATAATAACTTCTTTGTGCATTCAGAATATCTAAAATAAATTAAACAAAAAATTATTGATGTATAAGAAAAAATTTATCATGACAGAAATATTTTGTTATCACTACAAGAAAACACGTCCTTTACTAGGACGGGTTTTTCTCGTTATTTCCTAGTAAATGGCCCTTTACTAGGAAATAGCGAGGAAACGTGTTTCGTCGAAAGACGTTCATCGTAAAGGCTATTTTCCTCGTAAAAGCCTAGCTACTTTACGAGGAAAGGTTTCCTCGTAAAGCCGTGGAAAGGATTTCCTCGTAAGCTCCACGTACACTTTCCTCGTAAGAGCATAGTAAACAGTTTCCTCGTAAACTCGTAGTAGACTCTTTACGAGGAACTTGCTAGGAACGTTTACGACGAATTTACTTCGAAACTTTTACGAGGATTTTACTTCGAAACAGTTTTTTCCTATTTAAAAAAATATTTATAAATTAAAATTATATATATTA